AAATTAAAGATTTGGCTCATTTTTTAATTTTAGATTGTTCAAGATGTCTTATTCTCTTTTTATTGGAATGCAGCAGGTTTTGTAGCAGGTTTTTGTACAAAAAAAAATCAGATTCAAAGACCTGGACTGCAGATAAGGCAATGCTGCAGGAACTGAAGCGTGAGAAGATGATTCTATAGAGCATGGTGATAGAGTTGTGTGTCAAATATCCATAACGTTAAAAAGAGTCTAAATAGAAAAAAAGGCCACCTTGAAATCCATACTAGTAACAACTTAGATCCATCTTATGTCTCAGTGCATTTTATGAGCTTCCCTGCATTTTCAGATTGCATTTTAAACAAAACAGTGTCCCAGAATTTAAAGCATGCAAAAGAACAGTAAGACTATAGTCAATGTATTAAAAGAAAACAAAGCAAAAATGTACCAGATTGCCTATAAAAGGCAAATATAGAGCAAAATAAAATGATCACCACTGTAGGAAGAAGTTATTTGTGCTAAATGTCTTATTTATTTTAAGACAAATTCTCACAGATTTAAAAATTATGTAACTGTTTTCAGTAGCCATCACAGAATGAAATACTCAATTATCCTAAACTATTTTAGAAAAAGAAAAATTTCTTTATACCTCAGTAGGTGTCACAAAAATACACTAATTGTAGATAGACATAACAGAACTATAATTTAAAAAATAGAAGGGAACAGGACTGAAAGGACAGTTGAGACCAGATGGCTGGAGAAGAGCATAGAGTGGTTTTTCAGCCTGTGCTGACCTGCCTCCTGAAAGCAGTCCCATTAATCCCCAAAAGCAGCTTTCTTACTGTGGAGTTAATAGCCTAAATACAGCCAAAAAACTTCAAGGAGACTTTTTTTTTTGCAGCACACACTCACTGAGCTCAGAACTAAACTCCCAAAGAAAAATTTCTACAATAATTTAGAAGGAAAAATTATTTTGAATGTCCAGAACACAAATTCAGAGTACTTATTTTTCACCTTGTTTCACCTGATTCACAGAAAGGCAGCTGGCCATGATGGACAGCTTATGGTGTTACTCTGCTTTGCAATGTGGAAGATGAAGCAGGTTTAGCTGGATTGCAGGAGTGGTGCCAGCTACAGGAGACAGCATAATCAACCCTTGGCAAAACCTGCCTCATCACTCAGCTGAGCGCCTGCCAGCCAGAAACCCACTGCTTGAAGGATGGTAACGCTAATAAGAGAATTTCTCGAGGGGAAATTAAAATCCAGAAAAGAAAATAAGATGGTGATTTTTCTGGGGTTCATCACGATTACAAATGACTTTGCTCTTGATCCTCCAGGAAATGCAAAAATTTAAATAAACTTGGGATTTGTTTCATTTGGATGCTTTAAAGGATTCCTTTGAGCCTGTAAGGCCTATAGTCCCTGAACAGACTTCTGCAGCTGCTGCACCTAATTTCATTTTGGCAAGGAAAGAGGTTGGGACATGTCTGTGTGGTGCAGTCTTGCTCTTCTTCCTCAAGCAGGAGCTAGCATCATGATTCAATAAAATTTAAAAGTGCCTTTTCATCACCTACATTTGTACAGATCGATTACAACTTCAAAAAGAACGAACACAAGTGAAGAAAGCAGAGTGTTGTTTACAGGGTGACATCTGACTAGCAGGCAGGAATATAATTATGGATGATCAAAAAATGGAAAACAGAAATGCAAACTATTGATTTTATGAACTAATTTTGAGCCCTGTTCCTGATGTATGATAACCCAAGGGGAGTTTTGTAGCATTGACACATCACTTAGGAGAGTGAAGGTTAAAGGGACTTATTTTCCCCCATTCTTGTTCTTCTGGTGATCAAAATGTATTTGAAAAGAACTGCTGTCTGAAATAGATATAGGATTGCAGGCTCTAATGTAAATTGGTAAACACATTGCCATAATAAAAATCAAAGCAAAGCAATCACCAGCAATTCAAAATCCCCAGCATTATCTTGGATATAGGGATCAAAGTATGAACTCTGTCAAGCTGTTTTAGCCTAGTGCAGCGTACAAAGCAATTTAATACGGATCACAGAGAAGTCAGAAACCAAGACACTGCTGATCCAGAGATCAGCAATCACTGTCAAGGCAGACAAAGCTGCTGTTTCATAGTTCTTGGCCTTTTCTGCATTGGACTGCCAACCAGCGCCTCCCTCACAAGCTATCAGGGACTTGAGTCTGGTTAGTAGGAATGGTGGCCGAATCTTCCCTCTGCCCCCGTCAATCCATGACACCTAAGCTGAGTAAACACAGACAGGGTTCTCCAGTCAGCTCAGTAACAGATAGATAAATTGAGTGAGGGAAATATATACATATAAAAAAATCTATTAAATATATCTAAACTTTGACAGATTAATAGCTTGCTCAGTTCCCACTGCCCGAGAACAAAAGAAAGATGCTGAGGAGCAGAGCACCCTGTATTCTTCCACAGACTCTCAGACATTCACTGCCATTAGAGACCAATCACAGAAACTGTGCTAAAATGAGGGCTTTTCAAAAGAAAGCATAAGGTGACCTTGCTCCAAGTCTTAATTTTTAAGGTGGCAGGACTGGTAAGTGAATAGATTTTAAAACTTTAATTGACAAGGACAATTCACATCTTTCCCCCATCTGTTTACCAAGTAGCATCTGTAGATATTACCAGTTTTCAATTTCTTTAATATCCGTAGCATAGTGCTGTAAAACAGTCACGAGTCCTTGATCTGGCTGTCAGTGCAAAGGCAATTTCAGAATGTCAAAAAGCAGAGCCTACTTACTGCTGGACTATACAGATGTGGCCTAGGGAGGCCAGAAAGCGAAAACAGCTCATGAAGTGACTTTATGTGACTCCAGATGCTGAGGAAAAGCTTCATCCATCCAGTTTGTATGCACAACAGCAACTTCAGGAAACTGTTGTTAAAAATCTTCCTCAGCTTTTGCCACTTCAAAAAATACGAGCGCATGAATCCCTCCTAGTTTCTAAATGCACAAGTTTTCTTCTGAACTTTTGGAAATTCTGGGCACAAACTCCTGAGTACCTATAAAAATTCTCAAGTAATCCATTCCTTTTTCCTGGAGGGCCTCTCTTAAAATACCTCTGATAATGCCAACAATCGATGTTTCTTTCTCTGAACAGATGGCAGCCACAAAGGCAGTATTAATGCACAAATGAAGTAACTGTATCTAGTACCAGAGCTTAAATGGACTCACTGTAAAGCAGAACTAGATATGCTTTAGAGAAGTATTTTGCATCTTTATGTAAATAGGTGATGTTAAGTCCTTTAACATCTAGATGGAAACCCAGATGTAGCACTTTTAAATCCCATTCCCATGATAATATAGTCTTTATATTCAATATGTTGAGTTTCTAATATTTTGAGGGGTTTAAATATACTTGAATAAACATTTAATAGTTTATATCTTTGAATTAGCCCTAGTTTTGAGCAGAAATTTGATGAATGATTTATTTTCATCTGAGAACAGCTCATGTTCAGATTTAAGCAAACCACATCTTCAGTCACCAAACTACTCAGAATAATTTGTGACCCACACACTACAGGGTAATAGATTATTTGGGCTACTAAAGATGTTCTGACTTTATTCTTAAACTGTACGGATTTTTGGCACGAATATACTAATGAGTTCATGAAACGGTGATGAAACCCAGAGGCAGTCTTTTTCAGCTTTATAAAAAAATGGCAGAATTAAGCCCAGAGTCTCTTCTGATCACAAAAGACATGAAACTGAAACCAAGACAAAGAGAAAAACTTTATAGCTTCATGGCCTTCTGAAACAACAGCATTATGACAGCCCATGCTATATATTATTTCCACCTTCATCTGATATAGTGACTAGTGTTCCATAATACAGCTTTTTTTCTGCTATTACCTAAAATCAAGTGCGGTATACAGCATGATACATACACTTGTATAATTGACAGAGAGTAATTCAAATAATATGTTGCAAACTGTCAAATGGCAAGCACTGTCCTTGTACAATTTAATGGTGTTGGATATATATGGAGCTTTTCCTTTTTTTCATGCCTGTTAATCTCCATTGAAGCTTATGTTACAATTGCCTTTTTTTTTTTCTTCCCTCATCAAAGCTCTGTTAAAGAAAGGATATTACTTAAAATGAAGAGAAAGTAATACTCATTCTAACACCAGGTACTGGTCACCAAGTCTGCTAAAATAAGGACTTGCATAGATCAGAAACTAAGCAGCATTGTTAACATACTCCTACTTCTGATCTACAGTTTGGAATTCTTATTAAAAGTGCACAGATATTTAGCATCAGATTATTTGTTACGTTAGTTCTTTTATTTGTCGGGTTTTTTTCCCCTCCTCCAATTGTAGTCTTTTCTTTTTTAGTGGAATGGACCAAGAAAATTGTAATTTGCCCAGCTGGAGCATGAAGAGAATATTAGAGATGTCTGTAATGATGTTATTATCGTATACATATTTGTCTAATAAAATTTCTTAGAGTTGATGATAAAGATCAGTTGATTATAGGTCAGTCTATTTTCTGATATTGTATTAAACATATCAACTGCTCTACAGGCTGAACCTCTAGTTATCGTACGGTATTCCTGCAGAAATGCGTATGTCTTAAGTTTCTTTTTTTTTCCTTGAAACAAGCTCTACTATTATTCCCTCTAGCATACAAAGTAAATACAAATTTCAGCATTTCTCGCCTGTATTAGGAGGTGGCATTCATCTAGGTAATGTTGCTTTTTCTGCTTTAGCAATTCAGATTTCTGCCTTTTACTGACTCGAATGAGGAACAATCCTTTACAACTGCACAAAGCAAAACCTCACTGTTCATTTTTGTCAATCACTGCAAACACAATTCTAGAATTTCACCAAAAATCTTTCAAGTATGTTAGATATTTAGTTTAAGATATTCGGTATTTAGTGTAAGATCCCTCTATTATAAAGAGCAGTGGTCTCCAAGCTGCAACAGCTGCATGAACGACTGCAACCAATGGAGGGGAAAAAAAAAATTTGTCATACCGGTGAACTCCACTGTTGCACATAATGATGTGACAAGCTCCAAGCCTGCTACAGAGTTCGGATGACACGGAAAGCAATCCCACTCCAGAAGCACTGCACGCAGTGTAGGCACAGGCAGCGGTGCGCTTGGATCGGATAAAGGATCCTATGAGTCGGTAAAGTTCATCCAAGCAATTGAGAGGCCTCATCAGCTGCAAGAAAGGAAGTGAGAACTATTTAAATATTTGCTACTGAGAACACATGAAATACTCTAAAAGAATAGGTCATCACAGGAGGAATACCTGCTCTAGTTGAGAAAGCCAAAGCCAAATTCCATGACATAAATACAGAGAATATTCTGTTATATGACCTAAGACAACTTCTAAAAACTTTTCAATTCTTACCATCACTGATTGTTTCATTCCAGGCCTGCCTATGGAAGTGTTCTTCACTTCAACAGACTGAACAGACCCATGAGGGCTATATCCACTAATGGACTGGGCAAAGAAGAGAAGCCATGAAGAGGTAACTCACAACCACACACAGATACAGGAGGAATACTAAGACTGGTTAATTGACATGCGGAGAAAATCAGCTTATAATTATGACAACACTATCCTTTATTTATCAAATATCTAGTTCCTAATTCTGACTAACAACATCAAAAAATAAAAATGAACACAAGTCAAAAACATACCACAAAGCAAGAACAGTTAACTTTGTAGCAGGACTTAAAATGATCCCAGGATTACTGTACTAAAAATTAATGATCCACCTAATAAAGAAGGCAACTTCAAGTGCAAGGCTGCTGTCAGAAGAGGATCCTTCAAGAGTGGTCTAGCAATGAAAACAGTATTTCATGGTGCTTTATGTACACAAGTTGTTCACAATAACGTTTTGCAGACCTCATAATTCCAAATTCCCACTTCCCTTTATTCCAGAAACACCTAGATTCCAACAAACCCCTGTGCTGCTCAAAGAATTAATCTTCTGAAAGACAGATTCATTCCCTAAAGACAGTTTTAACAGTCAGAGAAATGGCAGCCTCACTTGCTCCTATATGATACTTACTTCATTGGAAAGCACAGAAGTCAAGTAAATCAACTATAACAAACTGCATATTTAAACTGGGTACAAATGGATTTAACTTGGTTTAGGTCCTACTGGTTTAACTTGCATCCATTTAAATTAATTTTAGATGGTATCATTTACTAATGCAAAGCTATGGACAATAAAGTGAAAAGTGCAGCCAAAAATGAATCATGCACTCACTCTTGGCTTGCTCCAATTGCAAAATAAATTCATTAGCCTAACGTAGCATCCCCTGGTCAGATCTGGATTTGTGAGATGCTTTTCTCTTGCCCTTGAACTTTTCACTGAAATAGATAGGGAACAGGTTTAGGGGTAACAAGCATTTCACACACAGCTGAACATCCCCTGCTGCACCTGTGACTGCATGGCAAGTTAAGTTGCTCAGTCCCCAGGGAAGGAGAGGTAAATGCCTTTCCCTCCTGTGCAGTCCTGCATGGATCCAAGAAACAGGAACTATCAGTCTGTTAACAGCAATGCTGGATGACACTGACATAACATTTTAGTCTGTCACAGGGCTCAGCTGATGATCACTATTATTTCTCAAGTCACAATAGCTCAATCACTTTTGAAGTCAGCATAGGCAAGACCCTAGGAATTTCTTTATATCCCCTATTGGGCTGCAGTACAGGCATTAACTCTCCAACAGCAGGAGAGAGCACTAAACGAATTTTCATAGCCCCTGGGATCTCTGAGCCACAGAAGTTTAAAGACAGATGAAAGCATTTGAAGAAAGCCTAAATGAGAAAATTCAGAAGAAAGCCTTCTGAGCAGGATGCTGAAGGAGTACTTAATTTGGAAAAGCGCTTCCAGCATTCAGAACAAAGAATTTCTGCCTGCACCTCTCCTTCCCTATCCCACCCCACATGCTCTTAGAGCAGTTACATTGCTCTGAAAGCACAGTGAAAAAGGAAAATTATGATTCCTCTTCTCAAACACATAGACACCCTCCTGCCACATCTTTTGATACAGAAACAGAGGGCACCACCTACCTCTAAAACACAGGTGCGACAAAATGCTGCAAGAGAGCTCCTCCCTTCCCTGCCTCTCTCCCCACAGCTTTAAATAATTCAATTTTTTGATGGAATTAAGAAAGCCTTGACAACACAGTGTGTAACATAGAAAGTTTAATTAGGCACTTAATATTTTTATTTACCTTATCTATATAAGCTGCTTTAGATGTTGAATTTGGAGGCAAGTTTGACTTGTCCAGGTAGAATGCCCTGAAAGAACAAACAGACAGAGTAAGGCAAAAACTGCTAACTGTTTAAGCTCCTGAACAAAATGTACATAAGTGAAGTGACTAGTGTTAGACACCATCCTAAGGCTGGAATTTTTTTTACCTTATGCTAAGAGAGGGTCAAGGAGTAATACAATAATAAACAGGCAGTATCACTCTTCAAGTAATAAGGAACATTTTTTGTTCTGGAGACAAAAACTGTCCCTCTCCTCTTTGACAGTACAGTGCAAATTTTTAATGTCTAGCTATCAGAGAAAAATGGATCTGAAAGTGATTTTCACCAAAACAATCCATGAAAAAGTTTGTGGCAACTGTATAGAATTTAATAGTGACTTTGGGAAAAACAGGTGCCTGAGCCTCACACACTGCAAGCTTTTTTTGTATTCACTCTCTGTAACTGCAATAATGTAAAAGCAGAATCCCAAACACAAAACACAGTTCTGACAGAGGAAACATATATATGTTCACAATGTAAAAAGAAACAAAAAAGCAAAAACCTTACGAGGGACAAATATGCAACATACAAGCAAAATGGCATTTGCAATGCGTGCACTCATGTATGTATGTGCAAATGAAAAACAAACTGCCTTTCTTTACAATTTCCACACATTTCTTTGAAAGTTAACTAATGCATGAAAGGAAAAGCCAAAGAAAACTGTCATTTACCTGCAGAACACAACTGTGATAGACAAAGCATACTTAATCAGGTTTATCCACTGTGTATCAACCCATATTCTTCCAGTTCCTTTTACAACCTTTCCCTTATCAATGAATAGTCCCAGAAGAAGTTTATATAAAATGGACAAATGCATCATGTGCTGTTTTGAAATATAAAGTTGACTAATTTATGTGTGACACAAAGGAGGTTGACATTTTGTACAGAGGATTTCCACACTATCCTCTCCTAAAACAAAGATCCCTTCCTCTTACTCAGCTCTTCAGCAAAGAGCACACAGGAAGCACAGAGCTCTTCTCTTGTCTCCTCCAACTCAGGAGACCTAGAGGAATTTTTTTTTTTAACTTTCCAGCTTATAAGCAACTTAATTGCTCATCACAGAGAAGCTATCATTAACCATCTCATAGACAGAGGAAATATCCTACTTATCTCTGACAAGATCACAGGGGGGTTTGCCTCTGCAGCAACACTTAAAAAAAGCCCTGTCCCTGCCGATAGCAGTGGAGTTGGACCAGATGAACTTTAAGGTCCTTTACAACCCAAACTATTCTGTGATTCTCTGATCACAAAACTCATTCTGCTAGTTGTAAAGCTCCTAAAACCTCCTGTGGCAGCTAAAAATAGAAACATTTGGTAGGCCTCCCTGCCTGGACAAGGCATCCAGTGAGAACCAGGCAACAGCTACCACTGCAGCAGCTCTGGGCAAGGTTTAAATAAAACAAAACAAGACAAGCTTCACTGAACTATGGAAGATACAGGAAAAAAAGAAAGATATTCTCCAGTGACAACCTTAAGGTATCACTATGATGTGACACAGGCAGCTCCACTGCCTGTGCACAAGGAGCAGACCTGACTAAATCACAGAATCACAGAACATGCTGAGCTGGAAGGAACTCACAAGGACCATGGAGTCCAGCTCTTAACCCTCCATAGAGGGCTATGAGCTGTCACCATCCCCAAGAGTCACACCATGTACCCAAGCATATTTTCTCAACACTTCTTCCACTCTGTCAGGTTTGGTGCTGTGACCACTTCCCTCGGGAGCCTGTTCTAGCACCCAACCATCCTCTGGGTAACCTAAACCTTCCCTGACACAACTTCAGAACATTCCCTTGAGTCCTGTCACACAGAAGAGATCAGTGCCTGCCCCTCCTCTTCCCTTCACACAAGGAATTTGGAGACTGTGATGAGGTCTCCCCTCAGTCTCCTTTTCTCCAGGCTGAACAGACCAAGTGATCTCAGCTGCTCCCCCTACAGCTTCCCCTCAAACCCCTTCACCATCTTTGCTGCCTTTTGGGCAGGGATGCACACTGCAGATTTGAATATCTTTTATTCTTCAATAATTTGGAATAATTGAGTTGATAAAATAATCCATCCACCTTTAATTCTAGTAGAATTTTCTTCCTATAGCCTTATAGTTTTGAAAAACATCTTCTCCTTAATTTAAGGTTTGAATTAATCCCTCCAGGAAGCCCAGCAAAGCTAATCTAGTTCTGTTATTCCATTAAGCCTGTTGCATGATCCAGAATGTACTCTGTGTCAAAGGAAGCTGGAGACCATTGAAAGGAAAAGAGGTTTGTAGAGAAAACTACTCATAAATCATTTTGAGGGGCCACAGCACATAAAAGCTACCTCAGCAGCATCGGACCAACCTTCTTCCTTGTTAGCAAAGCTGGAAAACAAAGCATCACCCTGCTCTCCACTGAACATTATCACACTGAAAGCCTATACTGCTCTTTCCTGCCATGTGATAGGAAAACCTGCTTCATTTGGAGTCTGTTCAGCACTCTCATTCTCTTTGGACTGTTCTTTCAGCAAATTCAGCTGCATTAAATGACACCAGAAACCAAAAATAGAACAGTACACACATTAATGGAGTACATAGAAAATAATTAACTCAGGGTACAAAATGAAGCAACATGGACATTAGAATGGGATATACAATTATAGGAATTACTCCATTAATTCAGTCAATTATTCATTAACCTAAACAACAAACAAATAATCAACTATACAGAACATGCATTTAAAAATATCGAAGCATCCTGTTACAAGTAAAACTATTCCCCCCTCCCCAATCAGATAACACTCCCAGATGTTTCTCAAGTGCTTTATTTTTATTGCTTTTCATAAAAACTGTCTTCAGTATTTTACAGAACATGACAAACTGTGGACAGCATATAAATTTCCAAAGCACTTCACTTAATTACTAAATGCTTGTACAGGTCCTTAATCATATTTTATGGGAAAAGTTAATGGCAATCTTGGCACACTGCCCAATTTAGACAATATTTTCTAATCCATTTAAAATGAACCAGAATGAAATCATAGTTCTTTGTCTCCAAATGTGACGCTACTTCTGCTTTTAAAGCCTTACAATTTCTCTAAAATGTAGCAGAAAAGCCTTTTTTTTTTTCTTTTTTCTTTTTTTTTTTTTAAGGTAGATAATCCAATACTAAATCTACAAGGGAGTATTGCTGTGTTTCAGTTTTGTAGGATATCCCCTATGTAACAATGCCAAATATTGGGACAAGTATCTCAGGGAAAACTAAGACTGGGATAAGGTAACAAACATCTTAGGGTTCAAGAAGAAAAATCTATCACAAGATGAATGCTATCCTGAGATGTTTTCCAAAACTTAAGTACAAAGGAGACGCAGCAGTACTGATGTTTTCTTAGTGAAGCATTTTACAGGGTACCCTCCAAAACTGACACAGACATATAAAATCCTGAAAATTTAAAATATTGCAAATGGAACCCTAAGGAGGCTGCAGACCTGCAGAGAGACGCATTCCTGAGTAATGCAAATAATTCAAGCAAATCCAAGCACACAGTCTTATTCTCAATTTCCTGTTTCAGTAAACACATAGGGTTATCCTAGGCATTGGTAATCTTGTCTTGAAAATACAAGGATAGTAAAGAAGTGGTAAGAGAGGGGGAAGTAACTGGGTTATGGCATTAAAAAAAGGTCAGTTGGGGGTTCTAATCTAGAAAGCTTTTACTTTGATTTTATAGAGGAAAAGAATTCAGTCTTTTACATTTTCTGCATCACTGTGGCATACAAATAAATTAACTCATAATGTCTTCAACAGACGAATGTCTTAATTCTACTAGATTTTCAATCCCTCAGTCACAAGATATTCAAGATCATTTACAAAACCATAGTCAAGAACCTAAGAAAGGAACAGAGGCGCAGAGTCGGGAAGTGTTGGACTTAGTGTCCCTAATTCTTTTCTTCAGCTCAATCTAAAAAGCATGTACTTATGACATAGACAAACAGTATCTCTATGTATTTGCATCTACGTGCAGACATACTTTTGTATTTCTTTAATAAGAGTTTTCTTGCAAGACTGCAGCATCTCACTAAACTACTCATCTTCCACAGATTTAAACTCTCTCCCATCTGTGAATAAGGCATGTTGAGAAACTGGCATTAGGATGAGTACAAGTAACTGAGGTGCAAACCGAGAAGGACACTGACAAAGGAACAGACCTTCTGTCCCAGCAGGCATTTCACAACCCTGCTCTCAAACCTTTATAAGCACAGGGGATCTCAGAAATGTGAGTGTAGAAATGTGAAGACGGAAAGCTATGGATGACAAAAGAAAAGGAAAAAAAAATTCCAAATCCAATTTTCTCTACGTAACACTGCCCACTCTTCACATACTGCCTCTTTTAACCCCTATTTTCCAGGAAATCTAGTCTCCAGCATCTCTACCTACATCCAAAAGCACTTGAAACCATCCTTTTCGTGATGTGAAAGGGAAGTTCTTGCGCCACAGACCAATTACAGCTGCCTTCCTGCTTATCCCATCGTTATCCAAACAGACAAATCCACACTGAACAAAATAATGCTGACTAATCGGTTCCACATTTGCCTTTCAGACAGTGGATGTATTCTTTTTAGCTTCTGATATTCCAGACATGGAACACACTGTTAAAAAAGACAACGTGCCAGATAGTCATTGGGTTCTCAGGACTTCAACTAGGGCTACAAGCTGTACAAGCTGCAGGCTTGGGCTGGACTCCTATCAGTGACGAGAGCGAAAGAAAAGGCTCCACCTTTGATCACTGCAGATCTATGTTCTCTGCATTTGAAGAGGATAAAGCAAGCAGGATGAACTAGATGACCACCTCAGTGAGCAAAGACTCCGTACATATAATCTATCAAGACACGTAACTTTAGAACACCACCAATAATAAATACTGATCATACTGTAGCAAAAGTCCAAACAAAAAATGAATTTACATTCACAGAATGAGCACAGAACTGAAAGGGAAAAAAAAAACCCCGAAGTGAAATTCAA